GGGGAAGAGGGAAATTGGTGAGAAAGTGGTGCCAAACTATGAGAAAATTTCTAAGAATCCTGTTAGAAAGAATAACACTATCAATGATATGTCTTTACCCCACTTCATTACAATGAAATTTTATTTAAATTAAAATATTTCTTTTCAGAAGTTCATTTTAGCAAGATTTGACATTTAGAAATTGCATACTACAAGAATTGGAAGTCATAGATCATAGATCAACAGTTCATAGATCAAGCAGTCATACATCAAACAGCTCAAATAATGGACGATAAGCTCATAATGTAAGGAGCTGTCATGGCATAGTGGGTAAGGCATTTGGCTGCTAATCAGAAGGTCAGTGGTTCAAGCCCACCAGCTGCTCCGCAGGAGGAAGATGAGGCAATCTACTTCTGAAAAGATTTACAGCATTGGAAACACAATAGAGGTCACTATGAGTAAGAATTAATTTGATGGCAGTGGATTTTAAGCTCATAATGTGAACTTTCTGCCAATAGGAATATTTATCTTTTAAGTTTCCTTTTCAATATTGTCCACAAAGTAACCTTGTAACTTTTTTTTAAATCAGCTTTCAGTTTCTTTTCTGCTTCATAGTTTTAGAGAGAAAATTTCTAATAAAAGCCAAATTACTGAATTTATTTTTTCTTATTGTGGTAAAATGTTGGTTAAGATATAATTTGGAGACTAGTTTTTCATTTTTCTTGCATTATACAGAACATTTTATGTGGCACTGCCTGCTGTTGTAATTGCTTGCAGTTTTATGCCTAAGGCTAGAAATCACTCACTTGTAATATGTTCTTATAAAAATATACCCTATTGGATTGTTAATGTAATGCAAATGTTTCTTTGAAATGTAGGTTGTTTTCCAGTCTCAGTATTATCACAGAGCTTACTCACCCAGCCAACATGAGATTCATGCAATTCAGAGCCAAAGACTGTTACTCTCTTGCTCTTTCAAAACTGGAAAAGGTAAGACTCCACTTTATATTGCAGTCAATGTCATGAGACAAACTGTGTATGAACTGCTGTATGGAAAATGAATTCACAGTAAATGAGAAAATAAAAAGAATATCAGCTTTAACTCTGTGTTGAAAGAATAACTGAAATTTTCTATATATGTGTTTATAGAAAGTACCACAAGATGGCAAAAATAAAAATGCTATTTGAATTCCTATTTTGAGACTAAGGTACTATTTTATAATCTTTTTAAAAAATGAGAATTAAATGACTATCAACTATTTATATCACAAGTGAATATGATGTAGATATCTGATGTTATCATCATTAACCATAAATTGAAAATGACTTCTTTAAGAATTAAATGCAACAGATTTACTCATTTAAAATGTCAGGTATATTGATAGCATTATGAATGATTTACTGTATCATGGGATCTGTGTTTAAGGAGCTCTGGTGGTACAGTGGTTAAAGCATATGCCTGTCACCAAAAGGTAAGTGGTCGAACCTACCAACTGCTCTGCAGGGGAAAGATGAGGCAGTCTGTTGCCACAAAGATTTACAGCCTTGGAAACCCTATGGGGCAGTTCTCCTCTATCCTATACCATCTCTATGAGTTGGAATCAACTCAATGACAGTAGGTTTATTTTATTTTTTTTGGCTTTGGAATTTATGTAGATACAGGGGTTTACCATTTTCAAAAATCCATAAGGTCAAAGAAAGGTTGTAGGCTTGTTGGGAGCTAGTCTCCTAACTGTCATCAACACAACTTGAGACAAAGCTGAGTTTACTGCTTACCTTCGTAAAGCAGACTACTAACTCATAAATCCTTGGAAACATATTTTTGAGTAAGTATTATGTTTCCTGCACTTATATCTGCTCATTTCCATCTCTAAAGTTTGTTCACATACATTATGTTATTGGGGACTTACAATGACTCCTTTAGGAACATAGGGAAATCACAGTTATTCCCTGTTTCCAGATGAGAAAACTGAGTTAGGATAGATTAAATAACTTTTTCAGAATAATACCGCTATTGAGTCACTACAGTAAGGAAAACTTAAGACCAGTGCTATTCAAGACAAAATATTCTATTAGGTCACACTCTTTTAAAAATATAAAAGGGTAGGGAAGTATAGCTGAATTGGTTTAACATTCACAAGCAAACAAAGGAATTCAGAATCCAGGTAAGATTGGAGTATAGAGTCTCCTTCTTGAAGAGTGAGGAAGGACCGGCCAAGGATGAAGAGACAAGGTTTGTGAGTCTGACTGATTCTCATCCACTTCTCTAGGACTTTCTAGGAATGAAACTTGGGTAAATCATTTATTTTCCTTATCCTTGGGATTCTTATCTGGAAAATAAAACTAAACAAACCAAATCCACTGCCATTTAGTTAATTCTGACTCATACTAACTCTATAGGAAAGAGTAGGATTTCCAAGGCTATAAATTTTTATGAAGGCTAATTGCCTCAGCTTTCTCCCATGGAGCAGCTGGTGGATTCAAACTGCTAAATTTTGGGCTAGTAGCTAAATGCTTTGGGAGTTCTGGTAGCATAGTGCCTAAGACACTTGACTGCTAACCAGAAGGCTGGTGGTTCAAACCCACTAGCCACTCCTTGGAAGGAAGGTTGTGCAATTTACTTCTGTAGTGATACTGCCTCAGAAACCCAAGGACGGGTCGCTATGAGTCAAGTCTGACTCGACGGCACATAACAACAATAACAACAGACGAATGCCTTAACCACTGTGCCAGCAGAGCGCCTTATCTGCAAACTGGTAACAATTGTTGTTGTTGTTATGTGCTGTGGAGTCGGACCTGACTCATAGCGACCCCTCCTTGGGTTTCTGAGGCAGTATCACTACAGAAGTAGATTGTGCCATCTTCCTTCTGAGGAGTGGCTGGTAAGTTTGAACTGCCAGTCTTCTGATTAGCAGTCAAGTGCCTTGGGCACTATGCTATCAGAGCTCCTTTGATTAATAATAGCTAAATAATAGGATTGTCATAAATATTACTTAATCTGTGCAGAACACTAAGCCCAGTTTTTGACATATATTAAGAAGTCATTGCCCAAGGTAGGCAGGTGCAGAAGGATTAAGAACAACTTAAGGAAAATGAACTTGTCTGTCAGTTTGTTGTCCTGTGGTGGCTTACGCATTGCTGTGAGGCTAGAGGCTATGCCACCATGTTGTAAAATGCCAGCAGGGTTACCCATGGTGGACAGGTTTCAGTGGAGCTTCTGGGCTAAGACATATTCAGAAGAAGGAAGAGGCCATCTGCTTCTCAAACAACTGGCCAGTGAAAACTTTATGAATAGAAGTGAAACACTGTCTGATAAATTACTGGGAAACTTTATGAACAGCTTTAAAACACTGTCCAATATAGTGCCAGAAGATGACCCCATCTGGTCAGAAGGCACTCAAAATTTGACTGAGGAAGAGCTGACTCCTCGGAATAGAGACGACCTTAATGATATGGATAGAGTAAAGCTTTTGGGACCTCCATTGGCTGATGTGGTATGACTAAAAATGAGTAGAAATAGATGCAAGCATCCATTAATAATTGGAACATGGAATGTATGAAGTATGAATCTAGGAAAATTGGAAATTGTCAAAAATGAAATGGAATGCATAAAGATCAATCTCCTAGGCATTAGTGAGCTGAAATGGACTGGTTTTGGCCATTTTGAATCTCACAACCATATAATCTACTATGCCAGGAATGACAAATTGAAGAGGAATGGTGTGACATTCATTGTCACAAAGAGAATTTCAAGATCTGTCCGGAAGTACAATGCTGAGAGTGATAGGAAAATATCCATACACCTACAAGGAAGACTAGTTAATAGTACTGTTATTCAAATTTACGCACCAACCACCAAAGCCAAAAATGAGGAAATTGAAAATTTCTCCCAACTTCTGCAGTCTGAAATTGACTGAACATGAAATCAAGATGTGCTGATTATCACTGGTGATTGGAATGCAAAAGTTGGAAACAAAGTTGGAAAATATGACCTTGATGATAGAAATAATGCTGGAGATCACATGACAAAATTTTGTGAGACCAACAACTTATTCATTGCAAATACCTTTTTTTCAACAACATAAGTGACAACTATACACATGAACTTCACCAGATGGAATACACAGAAATCAGATTGACTACATCTGTGGTAAGAGGTAATGGAGAAGTTCAATATCTTCAGCCAAAATAAGGCCAGGAGCTGATTGTGGAAAAGACTATTGCTACTACTCTATAGGACACAGTAGAACTGCATCATATGCACATTCAAGTTGAAGTTAAAGATAATTAAAACAAGTCCACAAGAGTCAAAATATGACCTTGAATAAAATATGACCTTGAATAGACCATCTACAAAATAGATTTGGTGCACTGAACAACAATGACCAAAAAACAGAGAAACTGGGATGACATCAAGAACATCATTCATGAAGAAAGCAAGAGGTAATTAAAAAGACAAGAAAGGAAGAAAAGGCCAAAATGGATGTCAAAAGAGACTCTGAAACTTGCCCTTGAGCAGAGAGTAGCTAAAGCAAATGGAAGAAATGAAAAGATCAAAGAGCTAAACAGAAGATTTCAAACAGCAGCTCGAGCAGATAAAGCCAATTACTATAATGAAATGTGCAAAGACGTGGAGTTAGAAAACCAAAAAGGAAGA